TTCCGTCATCTATCCCCCCTCGATCCATCCATGTGTAAGTACGTATCCACTGTTACATTTCCATCAAACCATCTAAATGGAAGAGTTGCGTACATCCCCATCGGGCAAACTTTTGTGGCGCTCAAATTGATAGGAGCGTCCACAAAACTGTACTAAAATCATCAACAAATAAACACATGCCTGCTTTTTCTATCATTTATATATGTATGTGAGTGTGTGTGCGTGCGTGCGAGTGTGTGAGTGTGTGTGTAAGCATTTTATATATTCATTTTTGTTAATGTTTATATATGTAAAAATACAAATATATATATATATATATACATATATATATATATATATATGTATATATATATATATTTAGTTAGCTAGTTTTATATGTTATATTTTTCATATTCATATAGTGTGCGAATGGCAATAGGCAAATTTTATGCATAATAGCATATGAGCAATTGTCTGGAAACATAAAGTCTTGTTGTGAACTTTTGAAACATTTGTGTTCATTCATTAGAAGGTTCGTGTTGGTGTGTTTATGTTTGTATGTTTGTGAATTTACACATCTGTGTGTGTGTGTGTGTGTGTGCGTGTTTGTGTGTGTGTGTGTGTGTATGTGTTGGCTGCATATTGTAACAACTGTTCCAATAGTTCATTCTCTTAAATTTTCCAGTTATTTTCATGTCTTGCACGTTTATTTATGTGCGCGCGTGTGTATGTGTGTGCATGTGATTGTTTCTAATGTTGTTGTCATTTGCATGTTTTATTTTTTTGTTGTTGTCTATTTTATTGTTCATGTTGTTTTGTTGTTGGCACTATTGATGATGATTAGGTTCATCTTGTTTTGGTATAATTTTATTTATTTGTTAGCTGCAGATGTTGAAGATGATGTCGTTGTTGATGATGACACCGATGATGATAATGATGGTGATGATGGTGATGATGATAATGATGGTGATGATGGTGATGGCGATGATGGTGATGGTGATGATGGTGATGATGATGATGATGATTTAAAGGCGATGATGTTTATTGTTTAGATTCATTATTAATGTTCATATTTTTGAGGACAATGGTAACATGCCATCGTTCACTTCTCACTCACCCTCCCCTATGTAATCTGCGTTCCGTTACACTGAGCAATTTAATAAACAATTAGCAAATGAAATCACGTTACATCCTCAGGCATCTTTTTTTTACAACTTTTTCAACAAATGCTGATATTATTGAAATTAGCTTTGCTCAAATGTTAAATTTTTTTTTTCAAAACCGCATTGTGTGTAGTTTGATCGTATCTGGTTTGATCAGCACGGCACGACAACGGCCTGCTTGCTATTGACGGATTTTCTAACGATATGTCTTCATTAAATTGGTTCATTCTACGGTTATGTTGTTGAATATTTGTGTAGTTATTGCTTATAATCAATTTTTTGCTGTTGTTGCGCGTATAATGATGTATCTCTCAGACATTCAGAGGCTCTCATGTGATATGAAATTGATCAACATCGTTTGGTAGGTAGGTAGGTAGGTAGGTAGGTAGGTGGGTAGGTAGGTAGGTAGGTGGGTAGGTAGGTAGGCAGGTAAGTAGGTAGGTAGATGACTTCTGCCTCGTTCCCTTTCTTATTTGTCATCAGGTAATTTCAATTGCTAACGTAGGCAATTCTGTTAGTATAGTGCATATGTATAAATAGTGTGCACGTACAATTTGTATATAAAATAGTACATGTGATTGAATTTGATTATTATTTTTTCTGTGTTGTTGTTTTTCTGTGTTGTTTAATTTATCAAAAATGCTGTGTCGTACTGAATTCATCTTTGTTGTAGAATTGATAGCTGATGAAATATTTCAAAAATCTAAATTTTTGATAGTGCCAGTTCTGCTGGTTGTTATTGTTCAGTTAAAACTAAATTGTTGTGTTTTTGTGAAAGATGCCATAGTTCCATGGCTCTTAAATCTTAGTAGTTTCATCTCATTTCATCTCATTACCGTTTCGTTGCACTGTGGCATTAATATGCTTTAATTTTGTTGGCAAGTTTGTTCTCTGCTGTTTGAATAATTTTTGAAATTAATGAAGGTATCTCTAAAAGTATGCAATGCCTCTAACGCGATCAACTTACGCAATAAAACACAACATAAAAAACTTACGCTTAACAAATAAACCACACACCCACGCGCACACACGCACACACATGTTTATACACATCTATCTTTTAGTAACAAGTGCTTAAAATTGAAACATTAGAAAACATTTTTAATAAAAATACGATTGCTCTTTATGGAACAATCTAGTTCCAGGCTCTTCAAAACTGTGTTAAAAACAGGTTGCTCCGACGGAATTTCTCAAAACCCAATTTGTATTAACACGCTCCGATTTATCACACCCATATGCACACTAATACAGACACTCATGCACACATACGCACACGTGCACAATGTTAATATGAGGATATCTACATCAGTTAACATCAATTATCCTGATGTTACAAATGCTGATATCATTCATCTGACCACCTTCCACAAATCAGATATCTCCATTATAATTACTTCAGTTTTCCAGGTATATTATTTTTGTTGGACTTTACTTCAATTCTTACATTATGATAACGCTTGCTTTTCATTTGTATAATTGTGCCCAACAATTAGATTTATTTCTATAGTAACTTTGAATATACGTATATATGTAATGTAGCCATAAGAATATAAATATACTACTTAAACATTTGTTTATATTAGCTCATACATACAAACGTATATATTTATATATTATATATATAGTATATATATATTATATATATATATATATATATATATATATATATATATATATATATATATATATATGTTATATGTATATATTGTATGTAGTTACCATCTGAACATTGGACTTATCTGGTCCAATGTTCAGATGGTAAATAAATCTATCATTTCGATAGAGATGATGATGGAGATTTCTAGCCACCTCTTTTTTATCCTCCTCTCTCTATTCTTTCATGTTCTCTCCCCTTTTTTCTCGCCATTCTTACGCGATCTTCCTTCTTTTCTTTCTTTCTTTTTTACGCCTCTTTTGATGTTTCACCTTCTTAATATATTTTTCACACTTCTAAGCAATAATTAATGAACAGTGTAAGGAGGAAATCGGTCGGTAAGAGAATTGTTAGGTCATCGTTCTGCAATCTTGGATCTTGTGATCCGCTGATGACGATGTTTCATGTTTGCTTATTTATAAGATCAGGCCAGTATCAATTAATACTATAGAACTATAGAACTTTATAAGTTTACGAACTTTTTAAAAATGTATGAATTGCAATTTTGGGGGCTTGTCACAAGTGGTTACTTTTGTCTTCCTTGTCATTTCATTTCATTAGCTCTTTTAAGTTTTGTTTGATCTAATTTGGCGAAATAAAATATATTAAATGTATGAAATATATATATATAATATATATAATGTATATATACACAGTATATATTGCATATATGCACACGCACGCACACATATATAGCTTATAGAATAGCCGTGTATGGGCATACATATAAATGATCGTCGATGATTCGTTGGTTCATCAATGGAACAAGTTGTTCTGGGTTATAATGCTTAACACATCAGCATTCTTTCTTGTTTGAGGATCATTTGAATTCAACACAATAGATGCAACAAATTCATCAACTATATTTTAGTTGATATATTACTTTTAAATTAAATGTTCTTGTTGTTAAAAAAACATTTTAAAATTGCAATTACAACACTTACTGAATTATTACATTGGATTAAATTAACCACTGAATAATAACTTGATAATTGGCGAGTTCAGCTGTTAATAAAAACCTTTATTGTAAACGTGAACCACTTGTCTCCTTGTTATATATTATTGTATATACTGCAGTTCCAAACTAATAAAATGATTAGTGATAGATTTATTAATATTAATAGTTAGTTATCTTGTAACCTGTAACTCAAAGATTGTAGTCTGTTCGTTGTTTAAGCGTGAGACGAATTAAAATGAAGACTTATAAGATGTTAATCATTCTGTTTCATTTTGTTTTTGTCTTGGTTTTTATTACCACTAACATAAATTCTGGTCGTTCACAAATTAAAAAAAATTATAACAATATAATAAACATAAAAAGCGAAAATAAAAACCTCGAAGAACTAAATGAATTAAATAAGGACAGAAACAACGTTTTTAGCAACACTGACCCAGACTATGACACTAACAACGGCAACAACAACAACAACAACATCAACAACAACATCAACCACAACAGTAACAATGTTGCAACGACCACACGTGACTACACAAAACAACCGCAATCTCACAACTCGAATCTTCCAACTACAAAGCAAAAGAACGTCAAAAATAAGCAAGAACTTATTCGCAATATTTGTTTCAACGTATGCCTGGTTAGTTCCAATACCTCTGTTTATTTATTTGTTGTTTGTTCGTTTATTTACTTGATTGAATTCGTTTAAATAAAGATCTGGTTAAATAAATACAAATTGCAACTTAACAAGCGTCTAATTTAGGAGGAATCAAGTTTCATCATATCTGCACCATTGTTAACACGACGATACGGACATGAGCTTTAAAAGTTACAAACATGCAAATGATAAAAAAAATAATACAAGACATTTTTTGCTTGCAATTTATATACAATTTTGTTGTGCTAAATTGTAACTTTTAGTTTGAAATGTGTTTCGTTCAAGTCTTCATTCCCGTTTTGCTTATTAGAAAATTATTTTGTTGGAAATTTCGTAAAAGAGTTAGTTATCTACCAAAAAACTGCCGATACAATTTTTAAGTTTTTCAGTCATTGGATGCACACTTTATTACAAAGCTGTTGGAATTTAACATTGTCGGATTTTTCATGCATTTATGTTTTTTAACGTCTGACTACTGTAAATACTTACTTACAACTCTGAACCACTGGTACACAAATCATACACAGTTAACACTCGCTATGTATATTCAGCAAAACTATAAATATAGTAAAAATCTTTTTCAACATAAATATCCATATAATTAAAACTGTACATAATATAACCCACAACTGTAAATAATATAGCCCACAAATGTTTATAACTCTAACAATATACAATTTATGAAATTTTTATACAAAAAATCAGTAAGACAATATATGTAAACAAAACACGCTAGCACATTTAAAGCATTGATACGTTTGTGTGTGTTTGACCATCCCATCCAAGTTGTCGTGACCAGAGTTTGTGGAGCAGCTGAAGAAGATGGTGATGGGCTTGTTTCATTAAACATACAGTTATGTTAATGAATGGTCGTTGAATGAAGATGTAGCCTGTTCGTTTTAATTAAGTGATAACGTAAGAGGTGCAAATAATTCAAAATATGGGAATGATAACTTGTCTATCTTCTTATTTCAAACATGACCGTGTGCAGTTTTATTGTATCGATTTAATTAATCTTATTAAAAATTAAGTTAATTTTTCTTCAGAGAAGTTTTCATTCTCATCGGCTACAACCAACTTTCTGATGGATAACAATTGAATATGTAAACCAGTCTACAATAAAGTTACCAAATCATTCGAAAAGGATGGAAAAATGAAGACAAAAATGTTATGGGATATTTTGTTATCACCTTACTGTGAACTTTTCATTCAATACAATCATGAAAACCAGTAAATTTTTCTCCTGGATTTTACACAAGACTAGCTGAAACAAACTTCTAGAAATATTTAACAAAAACATATAATGAAATTTGGTCATAAAATAAAATAAATTATAAAACAATACAAAATAAAATGAAAGATAATAAAACAAGAACAAGAGAATAAAATTAAACATAAATAAGCTGGAAGAAGTGATAAGTTGATTCAAGCGCCGTTGGTTTGTAACGAGGTGCTGATAGACAGGAAACAGAAATCTTTATGAACAGATGATAACTCCTTATTGTTCTCCCTTGGTTTATATTAGCTTCACATCACATGTACTCGTTACTTATATATTGTATATTACATATATTTCATCACCTGGGTTATAATAGATCTGCGTCAATACACGTACATATGATACAAGGAATATTTCTCCACCCTGGAATTTCATAATTGTATATTTTATGGGAATAAATAGAGTTGTATACGATGCTGGTGAAAGAAATATGTGTGATATTTTTAACTTTTTATATTTGAAAGATCATAAATGTTTGTTTGATTGCGTATTTGTACATAAATTGCATTAGTACAAGCCTTGTCATAAACTATGACTTCAGCTATCCTGTTTTGTTATTAATTTCCGCAGTTTATTAATTTAGTTTTATAATGATTTTCACTTGTTTGCCATAGAGTTGTAGATTGAAAGTGAAATTTAGTTTTATAATGATTTTCACTTGTTTGCCATAGAGTTGTAGATTGAAAGTGACCAATCATATTCTTCTCATCGTGCACTCCATTAAAAGTCAGAACCACAATGACATCACATTATATTTGTCACGTAGTTCTAAACTGACAACCGCCATATAGGATCAGTGAATATATTTAATAGACTGCGGATGTTTATGCTGACGTTAACCTTGACAAACTTTACGATGATTTTTTGTTGCGTTGCGCGGTCTTCAAGTACTATCAGTACAGAAAGACGAAGACGGACTTGACAGGTGGAAGGAACATTTTATCAAACTTGAGGACAAAAACTGCGAAAATGAATTATTTAAAATAGTTTCCTTTGTATTTTCTACACCCGTTTCTAATGCATCGTGTAAGCGAAAATTTAGCGTTATGAATAAAATCGTCTTTGGCTAGGTTTATTGAAAGTTGAACTGCGGTTGTTCTCAGTTTCATGACCTCCTGTGTAAGACTCCAAGTTTATTGGCAGCTGCACCACCAAATCAAAAGTATACTTTTATGCAAAAATATTTTTTTTTTATAAATTATTGCAAAACTTTGGAATTTATGTTTTTGTTAAAAAATTAAATAAAATAGTGTTTCCCACTCAAATAAATGAACATAATACCAGTAAAAAATCTGATGATTCAAATTTCAAGGTCAATTAGGTCTAAACCTATTAATTGTTTGGAACACGGTCGTAATTGCGCAATAACTAAATAAACAATTTATTTTACAAATGTTACTTCTTAATTAATAGTCAATTAGTGTATTGTATTCAAACTCTAATTTCTATAAGCCTAATGGTTTCTCTAAAAATAGTTTGTATAAATCTTGACATTTTGTCGCTAATAAGTTATGAATGTTAATCAGAAATTTAATATATATATATATATATATATATATATATATATATATATATATATATATATATATATATATAATATATGGTTTATTTATTTCCAAATAAAATATTTCCCACCATTATTGGAATATTTGCCAAATAGATAATATTGATATAAAATAATAAAAGGATTGAAATTTTTAAATTCTCAAATTTCCAAAATATTTATTTAAAAAAATTGTTTGCGCAGTAAATAAAATAACTTGGCTGTTATGTGTGGAGTTTTAAAAAGCCGTGTTATTGTCATTGATGTAATATTGTTACCTTTTTATTAGTGTAGTTGAAGTTGTGTTTTGTTTTGACGTTATGAATGTGTGTGTAGTTAATGTAGATGTCTTGTTCTGATGTTATGAATGTGTGTGTATTTAATGTTGATGTCTTTTCATGCTGATATTTTAATTCTTATAATTAAAATTGTCTAAGTTTTTATTGAGTTAAGTTTGGTTAAGATTATAAATTTAGCATAGTGAACGTCGTATGAAGTATGATAATGAAGATGATATAATCACATAAATGTTGATGTACGTGATGGTGATGTTGGGAATATTCATAAGTAGATAAATGAATAGTGTTTTTTTTATTATTGTGTTATGATGCGTTCTCACATTTTAATGTAATTTTAGGTAATGTGAAAATGTGTACAGTTTGTTGGATGCAAAATGGCTAAAAGTTAAAACGTAAAACAATGACACCCAAACACACACACACAGATATATATATATATATATATATATACAAATACATATATATATATATATATATATATATATATATATATATATATATATATATATATATATAAGATTATTAGTCATAGTACTGTTATAACCTCGGAATGGTGGAATTACGCTATATAATTAATTAATGTTATCTTGTTATATTAGTTACCTCTGCTATTTTTCAGTCAATTTTAATACAATAGAGGCTATATAAGGGACAGGAGAAGCGAAATCAAGCAGCGAGATTTGAAGAAAAGTTGTAATGGTGATTTATGTAGTTACTTGGATTAGTTTAGTGTTTCTATAACTGTTCGTTCAACCAATCAACGTTCAACCAAGTTTACATTTGAAGCAGTTTTGTTCATTTATAGGAAATCTTGAACCTTGACGATCGTTGGAAGCGACAACACTGGGGTTGGAAATATAGAGATATTTGAAGTTATAACGTTTGTGTTGGTAGTAACGAACGAGCGTTCAAGTGTTACAACAATATATACATACACACACACACACACACACACACACACACACACACACACACACACACACACACACACACACACACACACACACATATATATATATATATACACGCACACATAATGTATAAAACACGCACACACACGCGGACCATACAATAGCATTCAACGAGCACATAAAATATATACATCCCAAGTATACTATATATTATGCCCGAACGATAAACAAACGCAACATCGTGCGTATGAACTCAAGCACATACATGATGTTGCATCTGCTGACACACACACACACACACGCACGCACGCACCAACCACACTCAACAAACATTCGTGCCAACTACACACACCACGTGCAGATACAACAAATGTTTACGCCGACAATACACACGCACTCACACACGCACGCTCACATACACGACTACGAAAGAAAACACAAATGATCAGATTGAAGAGACCTGGATGGAACTTATTTATATATTGTTATTCAATCTGAACATAAATATTCCACCTTTCCAAAATTTTAATTCAGCAAAAAATTACTTAATAAAATTTTCAATCATTAAATTATTTATAATGTTTAACTATTTCAAACTTACGAATCGTGTAAGACAATGGATGTTTTCATTTAAGAATCTCTTGTATCTAATTTTATTTTTTTAAGTTGTCATTGAAAGTTCTGAGCACGTTTGTCGCTCACAGAAACATAGTTGATTTGATCGTTGATGCATTTTTTTTAATGTTCACACTCAATGAAACACGAGAGCAGGTAGGCACGTGTAGGCACGCTTCACAAAGACTCAACGAGGTGTGGGTCGGCTGGCTGCTTGATCGTTCGTTGCCTGCTTCATAGTTTTTGTAGTTAGGGCGACGTGATGGCCTAGTGATTGAAGTCGCCTGGTGCTGTTTTGCAGAGTGTGCAGTAACAGGGTTCAAATATGACTAAAAGATCCGTGTGTGATACGTCATTTAGCGTGTATTCATTTTTGATGTTTGTGTGTTGCTAATTCTTCTGAACCTATGGAGAGTGTATCAGACCTCTAACATTTTCTTGTGGCTAATTTTAATATTTGTTCTACTAATTTTTTAAACATGAAATATTTTTGAATTGTAAGTTTCTTCTTCAGCAATGTGAACGTGAAGTGTTGGTGTTTGTTGCAAAATTCTTCATTAATGGACTCAGAAACGTACTCATAATAATTTCCTATTAAATGTTAATGTTAATAATGTAAATCTATTAATCATTATCGCTACGATCGTTCATCACACAGATCATCATCACCATCATTCTTATATTGTCATCATAAGGCAACATCATCATCATCATCATAAACAACACCATCACAGCAATATCATCATCATCTTCTTCATCAACGTCGATAATAATCTTTAGGATGAAATGACGAATGCTTAATGAATGCAAAAGTTTGAGAAGCTGATCAATAAGCAGCCCGTCAAATGATTTAATGCTTTGCAACCTTATTTTATTTGACACACACACACACACACACACGCACGCACACACACACACACACACACACACGTATGACTTGCATATTTATGAGTAGTGAGTATTAACTCTTTAGAAATAAAACCTTCAGTAAAACGAAAATGACTTAGAGTTGATCTTTATTTCACTATTTTAATCAATAAATGTCCGTAAGATAACATAATAAAAATTTATTATTATCATTATTATTATTAAATTGGTATAAATATATATAATAATATAGTATGACCTCTTGCTGATAAAATGAATGCAAATAATTTTTTATGAAATGTTCATATGCTTTACAACTGAATCAAAAAAATCTTCATACTTTTTCTCCACCAAATGATGGAAAACAATGAAAAAGAAATTCCTCCAATAAATATTTCTGGGGTCACCTGTAAAAAAGCTGCAACTTTCCTATGACCCCAGCCGAAAATTTAGTTATCCTTTAACTAACATACAACTATACCAATCCGTTCTTGTTATTGCGTCTTCATAATAACGTTAAAGGTAGATAAGCTCATTTACAATTAGGCCTCTTTAAATTTTTTTTTATTTAAAACTTGGGATTCATTTTTTTCCACTAATAAACTTTCTACAAAATGTTTTAGAGGTTGATCTTGTTTAATCGTTCACCGAATCATAAAAAAATTAAAAAAATTGTATTAATGCGCAGATAAATTGGGACAATTAGAAAAATCTTTTTTTTTTTGAAATTTCATAAGATGACAAGTACCACAAATTATTTATCATTTTTTGTTGTTGATTTTTTTCAGACATTTTTAATTGATTTATGAATTTGTGTTGTGACATTTGCTATCACTACGAAACTCAGAAAATAAACGTTCTTTGAATGAAACATACAGTGGTTTGGTTTGTATAGGTAACAACAACAACATAGCTTGCAATACAATGCAATACAATGCACAACGAAATGCAAAACGATAAAAAACAATACAATATATTTACTCTTTATTTATCGAAGTAAATCACAAACTCCATCAACTTTTTCTGTTCGGAGAATGTTGAAGACATTAATCACTGATATGAACAGGTGTGGTTTGCTAGCTAACTGGCTGACTGGCTGAGATGATATCAATCTCTGCATAAACAACATTATGATGTGTAAATACATCAAACCAACATAGTTTTTGTAATAATATTTGTTAACTAAATTAATTATTTGTTATTTCAAATTCAAAAAGCAAAAAAATACAAAACAACAATAACATTTAAAATGGAAAAAAATTAAATCTTCAAATGTGACAGGATTTTTTGAAAATATTTTAAATATACTCTTATATAAAATGCTTCGTATAGTTTAATAAAACAGCCTATGAATAACCTTCAATTTTTTTTATATCACCACGGTAATAGATGAAATTTTCAAAATTATAAAATATGTTTATAAATTTTGAAACAAACATAAATGAAGAAACAAAGAAAAATATTTGCATCTAATCTATGATTAGCCCCTACCTACATTGCATATAAATGTATGGTCTCTGCAAATGTTGTCAAACAGCCATCTGCAAAAAATTTCA